GGCATCCCATCACATTGCTTTAATTTAAAAATAGCTATTATTGTTATAAATGAGGGCTTAGCCACATCTTTAGACTTATAATAAATAAACTCAGAGCACCGAATTTTTGTCAAGAGTATCAATTTTTTAGATATTTAAATAGTGGCATAACCAGTATGATGCATGATGTTGCGTAAACATCAGCAGAGAATAAATTTAAGGATCCCGATTTTTTTTGTCATGGACTACTTAGCACTTCCTAAATTAATCTCATCCTTTAATAAGCTTGAAATATTATATTTATATATTAGAGTTTATATCAGACCCACATGATAGTTTTTTATATCTTGAAACTTGAGATAAACCAGAGACAAGGTAACAGCAAGTAATCAAGAGATATTTTTATAATCTATTTTTTGAATACATTTTTGTTCTTTTTATTTTTGAGTATTTATTAGATTACATTAACATTATGTATAAGGTGGTAAATTTTAGGTAAAGTGAGAAGGGAACGAGTTTAAAATGAATGAAGGTATGGCAAAGAGGTATGCTGGGTTTTTTTGGAGGAGAGGATGAGGCATAATATAAATTTAATATTGCTATGGAGATGAAGAATGGTAGGGGATACAAGAGAGTTTGAAATGTTTTTAAAATGAAATATTTGCAAATATTTTGATCTGAAGACTTTTAAAGAAGATTTATTTGAGAATACCCAAACAAGTTTTTTGATCAAATTTTACTTATAATCTAAAATATTTTTTGTAAATCATTTATAAGTAAATTTTAGATTTTTATGCACATGTTTGATTTAAAAGAAATCTTCAGATTTTTACCTCAAAATCTTGAGGACTGAATAGGTTAGGAAACAAAAACAAAAGTTTTGATTTTCAAAAATAAAATAAAAAAGTTATTTTTTGTATATTTAAAGACCAAAAAACATCACATTAAAAAATTATTAGACCTATAGAGTAGTGTTGTTAATTTGCTTGGTCATAAAATTTACGACCAAATTTTGTGCTCAGGCCGACCCGGGGTTCAGACCTACACCTGGGGCTCGGATAAATGAAAAGTAAAAAAAAAAATTTCATTTTCTAATCTTAAATTAAATCTTATTCTTATCTTATTCATTTTAAATTAATAAAGCTTTTTTTTATTCTCATTTTCTTACCATTTTCTTTCTTTTGATAAAAAATTTTTATGGTAAAATAAAAATATATGTAATAAATATTCAAAAAGAGTAGCCCATGCATGACGGAAAAAAAATAAAAAAGTAAAATTTTATTTTAACACATATTGATATTGTAATTAAATGTGGAAGGACCAATATAAAAATTCAACGTCATTCATGCATGTATAAATAATAAAAAGAAATGTAAATTTATAATTTGTGATAAAATAATGGCCAATAAAAAGTTTTTCTTTATTATATTAAAGTTATATTCCCAATATTATATATGTCATAATTTTTAAAGGGATGTCAACTATCCAGGATCACCACGGGTTTTAAAGGTATAACTAATAAATTTGGGTTATAAGTAGGTGTATACCGATATCACTTTTTGGAGGCCTATCCGATCCGATATTAAATTGATATCGACCGATTACCGATCCGATATCATATCTAATTTTTATGTCATTTATTTAAATATATTATAATGATCAGTTATAGTTTATATTCAATTCTATTGCAATTCTAAAAGTATATAATATATTTTTATTGTTAAATAACTTTTATACAAATAAGTAACATTAATCTATATATAATAAATAATAAACAAATATATTATGAAGTTTGAATAAATATTTTAAACAATATTTAACATTAATAAATCGAAGATTTCTTCTGTCAAGTTAATATCGCCAAATTCACTAAAAACAGATTCTGAAGAGATTAACGCACACTTTTATAAACAGAATGTGCAAAAAAATAACAATATGGCAGAATGATTAATTAATTATTAATATTAAAAAAATGGATTTCGATTTATTTATAAAAATAAATGACTATTAAAAAACTTAAAAGAAATTGTTGAGAAAATTTTTGTTATTTTTTAAAAACTTCCTGTAATTTAACTTAAATAATTATTTTTCAAATGGTTCTTCAAACCAAATAACAAAACAAGATCCATATAATTGAGGTAATTACTAGTTTTTTGATTTAATATATTTCACACACAGCCTCTTTAACTCACATACGATATGATATTCGAAAAGGAAATTCGATCTATATATAATACATATCTTTGAAGTTTGAAAATAGTGATTACTAATTATGTGATTTTATTTTTATATTTTATTTTCTGTTTCAGTTTTAATATGCTTATTATAATTATATTATACATAATAAGAAAAGCTATGACGATGATGATGATATTTACGAATACGAATAAAATTATAATTGAAAACAAATGTGTTTTAAAAATTTTTTTGAAAAACTTCCTTTTCTTCCGAAATCTAAAAAAATGGAAATTAATTTTCATTAAATTTATAATTATAACTGTTTCCATCGAGAATGTTGACGGAAATATTTTTAAATAGATCTAAATTAATCATATTTATGTTGAATTTTTTATGTAAAATAAAAATTTTTATTATATTTATAAAAACTAGAGACGCAGCCACTCGTTAATATCAATCACATCTTTATTTTAGATTTTAAAATCATGTAGAAATATATAATTTACTTTTTTTATCACATAAGAAAATAGGGGATTTTATTAAAAAAATTAGCTACATAGTTTATGAAATTAAATAAATCCGGTCAGAAAGTTCGTATCTAATTCTGAACTAAGATCAGGATGGTATAGAAATAATCTATAAGCAAACCTACATAATAATTCATTTTAATTATTTCCAAGCCCTAAGTGTCCCCGATTAAAAATTTTTTAGTCATAAGCTGAGTTGCTTGCAGGATTTTCCTATTTAGGTTCGATATTATTGATAAATAATTTTTAATTAAAATATTTGAAACAACATTATTTATGGGGTTCGAGTTAATGCTGGCTTATTTCTTATATAAATATTGCTAATGTAGATCGCAGTGATTTTATTAGACCCACCTCGGGTTTGGGATTCACAACCAACCAATTAAACAACACCCATATCTATATTTTGTGTTAATAAAAATATACCTTCCCCCCCCTTCCCCCCCCCCCCCCCCAAGACCTCTACCCGCCCTGTATGAGTGATCATTATCATTATTATTATTATTACAAAAAAATATTTTTATTTCCATATCAAAAAATATAATTTTTCACCCCCCCCCCCCCCACTTTCACCCCCTCCCCCCCCCCCCCCTAATCCATCCACCTCCAAAACCAAGTCATACCCATCAAGATAAAAAATGAATACTTTCAATCTAAAGATATTTAGTTTAGATTATATTTTACCCATATATCGATATTTTGTTTTGATAAATTATTCCTGACCCCCCAAGACCTAGACCCGCCCTGCCCTCTTTCAGTCATTATTATTATTGAAATAAAAAAATATTTAATTATTAACTTGTTTATTAAATCGTTACACGACACGACCCCGGGTCTGAACCCCGGGTCTGTGCTCAGAGCTGGTTTGGTCGATTTTTTAGACCCAAACCCCGGGTCTGGTTTTATACAACCAACCAATTAACAACACTACTATAGAGATCTAAATTTTAGGCCTTGAAAAAAATTTCATTTTGCCTAAACTGGCCCAGATAAAGGAAAAAATATTTTCAAGCTTGGCTTAAGATTGTTTTTTTTAAAAAATGTTCTAGTCTGGTTTTTTTTATTTTTGATCATTTCATGACCCTACCTGCTTGCAAGGAAATTGTAAATAGTGTTGTTAAACGGCTCCATTTTGAGCGATTTTTAAAATATTTTACCCAGATGAATATTACGCAAGTCTGATTTGCTCATCGAAGGCCTAAAGGTCTAAACATCTAATAGCGAAATATCGAGGCTCAGGCAATATTTTTCTGGCTAAAATATTAAGTTAGCTGTTTTTAAAACTAGCAGTAAATGTATATTAAATGCTCCATTATAAAATATTCCAATATTTTCCCACTGATTGATTTAAATTTAAAAAAAATTAAAAGTAAGTTGTCTGACCCATGATTCTTTATTTTTTTTTTAAATTTTAAGTCCAGCCCTTATTTTTATAGTTATATCATTTTTCCACCCATTCCATGCTGGGTCTGAGCCAATATAAGATCATAAACAAAACAGGTATACTTATGTCTGAATAAATTGGATATTAATTTGCATATAAAAGTTGGTAGAAATTACCTTATTTCCTAGCTTATAAATCTTTTAAAATAAAATATGGAATTTATAGTTCCACGGGCAGAATTCCAATATGATAATTTTTCGTTCAAAAATAATAATTCTTTTATTCAATTTAAAATTAAATCCAAAACCTTCGTATAAAAAATATAATTTATTTATTCAATTTAAACTTAAATCCAAAATTTCATATTAAAAATATAATTATATTCCATTTACAATTATCAAAATATCAATAATAAAAATATATTCCACTTTCATTTTTATTCCTTTTTCTGTCAAACATAATAAACAAAAAACGTTATTAATTTTTAAAAAATACACAACACTTTCTAACATCAATCACCATATCCCTCTCTCTCATATACTGATATACTTATAATTACAACTTAGCTACTATCTATAACTTTGTTATATTTTAATTCATGGGTTTGAATTTAAATTACAGGGATTGTGAGAAAAAATAAAGTAGTGATATTGATGTAAATTTTTAAATAAATATTTAATTTTAAAATTAAATTTATTTAATTATATTATTAAGATTACATTACAATATCTTAATTAACTTACTGTTTTTATATTTTCTATATTCCGATTAATAAAAAATAAAAAAAGGTTTGGGTAACGGGTCGGTTTTCTAAAAAAACCAGTTTGATCATCCTTTATTCTGTCATTTGAGATCATATTTTATACTAAGCAACAAGCATCATATCACATATCAAGTATATTATTATAAACTAACACAAATGAATCCAAAAGTCACAAACGGAGCCACAAACGTTCCAAATCCCGATTGACTGAGGACAGGCACACAAAGCACCAAAAGGAGAACAAAGAGAGTTCTCGAAAAGCAGAATCTTTTTCTGTGACCAGCAAGGCAGTTCGTTTAGATGGAGCAGATCGAAAAATGCCGGAACTCGAGGAGAGAGATTCAGACAGGGAGATGAGCCCACTCTCTGCTCTTAAGTTTTTGTTGGCTACCAAGGCAGCTCAGACCAGGTATTTATAAAATTCTTCCCATTTTTTCAAAGATTTGATGTTATAAGATATTGTGTATATCATTGATATCAACTCATCTGGGACTTTTCCAGAGATTCGGGGAAATCAACCTCTTGGCAAATTTTTCATTTAGAAAATTTTAAGCTGATAAAAATTATTCCCCCTTCCACTTCACCTCAATGAATAATTAGAGATGTATTGCACTACCAGCCTAGATCCGAATCTTCAATATTTGGATATTGTTGGTTCTAAAAAATTTCCGATTCTTTTTCTTTACTAGATATAATATATTAACATGTTTAAATGCATCTTGCAATATAAAAATAATATAAGAGATTAATAAAGAACTTTTTAAAATTCTTTTGTTTAAAATTTAATATGAAATTATTAAATAAGTTAATTACAGCACCAAATAAAGAAATTGGATCTTTTTTATGAATTCCATATTATCGATTATTTAAAAAATATATTCTCGTAGAATAAATAAATAGCTATTACTAATATAGCTATGTCTTTACATAAACCCAGAGGATATAACGTTTACCATTGTAAGTCTTGTTAAGCAAATTTAAGCAGATGGAGGAAGGAATTCAAGTGCATCTGAGATTAATGCTATGGAAACATTAAATACTCCTATAATATATATATATCAGTAATGTTACTCGATTTGCCGAATTTTAAAAACGACTAACTCAGGATTTTAGCAAGAAGAATATTGCCAAAGCCTTCAGATTTCGCTAATAGATGGCCAAAGTGCCATATGAGCAAAATCTTCAGGCTTACGTTATTTTCTTTTGGATAAAATATTGAGTTAGCCGTTTTTAAAAATCGGCTCAAATCGAGCCTTTTAACATTACTAATTATCAGGGTGGGTCAGGCTGAGTATTTTGAGCTGGACAACATATGTAAAATAATTTGCCAAGCTGGCAAATTTATGCAATATATTTTTTGGAAAATGCAAATTTATGTTTCTTTAAAAAATATAGTTAAGGGGTGGAACTATAAAATTTGGGTCGGGCTGGGCAACATGTCTTAAATAATATTTGGACTTGGCTGGAGCAAAAATTTTATGAACCAGGTAGAAAAATATTTCCAGGCTAATATTTGCATGACAATAAATTTATATTTTAAAATGCATTTTAAAAAGAACTTAACGTCATTTTCACTGCTAATATTTTCCTATAATTTTTCATCCTCATCATCTAAGATATTAATGATAATCATTTTTTCTTTAACTTAATTTAAAAAAAATAGGATTATGCTGATTTTCAAATTTTTTAATAAAGGAAAACAGATACCATTCTGATATTTATTTTTATTTATCATCTATCTTTGAACCAATTTAATCAAAAATAAAGTCAATGTTTTTGCAAAGAATAACTAATTGTAAATGGGCAAAACAAAACCTTTAAAAATTATCTATTTCTCATCAAGGCAATATATGCATTATCACGAATGATTATTTTTTTGGTTTTTTATCTGAAAGTTATTTATTTCATTTAAAATATAAGCATTTTATGGCTGAGTGTGATTCGTTAAATATTTTTAAGTGCCTTTTGTTGTTGCAATGTAAGTAAAATAATATCCATTTTTAGTTACTCTTTATTTTTAAAATATCAAAGATAAATTGAATCTGGTTTCATTTATTTATTATTAGGAAATTATGTTAAATAATTATAATTATATTTGCAATCATAGAATAAAAAACAATGATAATATCGGTATTGTCCAAACTACCCAAGTAAATCTTACTCCCTCCCCCATTTCAGGGTTTGGAAATAAAAATCAAGTGATTTATTTCAACTAACAGTCATTTCTGTGTCAAATCAAACATTTTTCACCCGACCTCTTTCAACTTCGATAAAAGTAAGCACCTTATGTGTGTTCTAGTTATATAAAAGAAATTTTAGCTCATTAGCAATTATACCTGAGATAAAACCAAATTATTTATTTCTATTTCAAATATGCATTTTAACAATTAAAGAATACATATATATCAAATACAAAATTATGCTAAAAGGGGGTAGGGCTTAAAAAGCGCAATAATTATATTAAATATTTCTGCTTGTATTTTTTGTCTTTAGAAAAGGATTTCTTGCACATTCATATTTTATGGGCCAAAGTTTAAAAAAAGGAAGGTATTGGGGAAAAAATATCGATTAGTGGATGTGGCAATTGAAATAAAAAAAGTTATCCAATGTTTTGTATTTATTTATCTTTTTTGTTTCAGCTTAAGTAACACTTATCTAACATTCTTCCATCCGAAGAATCTCTAGTCAAAATATTTGACAACATATTGGTTTGGACCCATTCCTAATCATTCTCTCATCTCATCAGAGCTTCTATATTCTCAAATGCTTATCTGATATCTTCCTAAAATATTACATCAAAACGGGTGGCATGACCTATCATCCCTTCATACTCTGTTACTCACCCTTCCTTTCATCCCGACTATTAAACAACTCGTACTCGTAATATTTAGCTTAATCTTCCCTAATGATAACTTACTATATCAAGCTCTTGCAATTAATACAGCAAAATTTTAGATACAGCTTTTTATAAATCACAAAAATATCTTTTTACCATTTTTCGAATTCCTACACCGTTTTATCCACGTCTTCTCCACTTGAAGACATCCTTTTTAAAAATAATGTTCATGAATGGTTAGAAGCTTTGCCTAGTAAAGATTTGAGAATCTCGTAAGTCGTAACTAATGAACAACTGAGAGTAACTTTAGGTCATAGACTCTGCTGTGACATAGTTCAACCTTGCCCGAATTAGAATTTACCAGTTATAAGGGCAAACATGGGTTACATTGTATTTAAAGCAGGGCCGTCAACACCGCCATCCATCAACAAGTAAACTTATCACCCTATTCTTAAAAAATTTCGAATCCCTAATATCTTGGAACCTTGTAACCTTTCATCAGATAATGGTCTCAATTATCCCATGGACAATGGGTAAATCTTTCACCTGGGATTATACTTGTTTTACTACCTTCCCCACTAATATCAATAGCAACGCTCTTATTCAAACCGAAACAAAAAAGATAAATAATTACAAAACATTGGTTAACTTTATTTTTCTCCAATTGTCACATCCGCCGGTATATATTTTGCGCCATGAGATATTGAGGATTAAAAATACAAAATAGGCATTTTTAACCTTTTACTGATGTTTAATAATTAGTTTTAAAACAAAAGTTAATTTGAATATTGAATCTAATATTAATAACTGTCAATAAGTGATAATTATGTGGTAAACATAAAAATTAATTTTTTTAAAAAATATTGATCATCTTATGTCCATTTAAAAATTAATTAGTATTTCGTATATATAATGAGCTCCAATTCAATTTTTATTTTCTAACACTTTCTTCAATAATTAGCTGGGTAATTAATAAAAATATCGCGCATAATGTATTAAAACGTATAAAATCATTTAAGGCATTATAATTGATTGATTTAAGTAATATGAACATTGGAAATTTTTTTTTATCTATTTTTTAACCACAGACTTAAAATAAACAAAATAATTTAATAAAAATTTTTTTACATAAATAAATTATTATGCCTTAAAATAATTTTAAACGATTAAAAAGTTTTTATTTTTAAAACTTTAAATATATCGCGCTTTTTACATTATTCGCGATATATTTTTAATTTTAAATAATTACTCAGCCTGACAAATTTAAAAAAATAGTAAACGAATAATTAAGTGAAAAATATCGACAAATTGGAGCTCTTATTCATTTCAAAATGTAATTTTTAAATCTATTAACCATAAAAGCCACATTTTAAAAAAAATCATTTGCTGTTTCCTACATGATTATTAATGATTAAATTCAATATTTGAACTATTAGGTTAAACTATTTATTTAATATAAATAAAGGTTTAAAAAAAATCCGATTTTCGTGCCTATAATCTCCATTATCTCAGGTAATCCAATTGTAGAATTTCCCTTCTCTTTACCAACTTAAGTTTTGTTTTTGATTTACATTTATAACATGCTTATAAATTTTATCGAAATTGATAGAGGTTGGCCAAATATCAATTTTTTGCTCATTTGCCAATAACCCCTAAACAATAATTATCATTTAAAAATTACTTGACATTTTACTAGATATTGATATTATTTAAAATTAATAAATAAGTGCCCTATTCCTAAGAATAAATATTAAATTTTTTTTATTTTATATCTCTAACACTAATTAACACTCAAATATATATGTAGTATTTCTTAAATGTAAATTTTACCAATAACAAATTTAATAAAAAAAATTTATTAAAATATTTAGAATGAAAAACTAATTCTCCAGCTTTCCCTTTTTTCTATCTACTATTTTAAAGGGGATATCACATGATTCAAAAGAGATATTTGAATTAATTTCACATTTGTCAAAATTAAGTAAGAGATAAGCCAGTTTCAGGAGACAAATCTTTAATAATTATAGGAACATTTAGTAGTTCGTTTGAATAATGTATAATCTAAAGTACCAAATATTAAGGTCTAGGTTAACCTTTTATTTATGCTGTCGATGATTTTGTTGATACCCATGCAAAAGAGCAGGTCCTAAAGGGCTAGTTGGATCCCTTGTTGATTTTCAATATAATCTTTGAATTTGAGGAATGGTCTGAGTGCATAGCTATTCAATATGAAGTTGGTATATTTGGGAAAGATGTTGAGGAAAACAAGGGTAAAGTGGTTTCTATGAAGATTTTGAAATCTAGTTTTATAATGCAATTGTGTGGAATTAATAGAAAAATGTGAGTTCCTTTAGAGGTTGCTTCACAACCGCCAGCTTGTTTTAAACATGTGCTCAAGAGCATCTGAATTCTAAATTTTATGATTTTTGTAGGTATTCGGTTAAGAAGAGAGCCTATTGCAATAGGATGTAGTCTACTGTCTTTTTTAGGGCAATATGGCGGGCTTAGAATAAAATATGAATATTGTAAGAGACTTCACCATTTTTATTTTATTTATGATGAATGTGAGAGTAGTCATTTGATTTTATTAAAATGTACACCATAAATAATTAGCATGCCAAATTTCATTCATTTTTGAGATGGTCTTCTAAAAAATTGGTTGACTCATTTTCAATTTTTATGCTAACCCATTGTAATTTTTAATGATGTTATCATTAAAATTTTAAGCTTAATTAGATTCCATCAATAAATCTTTCACCTAATACCCATGTTTAAAACAAAATTTCTCCCTACCCCCAGCATAATCTCAATTTAAAGATATTAACAAAACAATCAAAAATTCTTTTTGAAATTTTATTAAGTTAAAATACAAGTCACGATATTTTTTAATACAAGAGTGGAAAGTCTTGCCATGAGAATTGTTATAGTCTCTCTATTAGTCGGTATAGGGGGGGGGGATTAGCCTGTAGAATGGGTATTAGTCTGTGTAGAATATTGACTCTGAATGCAGTAGTTAAAAAGAATATTGATTCTGAATGAATTATATAATATGCCTTTTATTATGTTATATAAAACTATATATTTTTTTGTAATCTTTACGCGGTATATATATATAAATCTATATTTAATTTACTACCTCCAATAACATTTTGTAATAAAGTAATATAAATTGATTCGGTAAATACAAGTAATGATAAAAAGACAAAGAAATATAATAAAATAAAACGTAAATTGTTAAGTAAGCACAATTTGTTACTAATCTGTAACATTTTGTTTACAAGATTTATATAAAATCAGCACCATCTCCTTTGATTTAGTGATACGGATGATTAAACAAAACAGAAATATCTTATTTTGATTCCCATTATTATAAATATCAATATGCTTTCATTTAATACACATTTCGAGATATTTTATTTGAAATCCCCCTCCTCCCATTCTCACGACTTAGATTCGAAGACCTTAAAATTACTCAATTTTTTTATTAGTTTAAATTTAATTATGCTATAAAAAATTTATAGGTCATATCCCCTATAAAGCCTAATTTCGCCCATCAAAAAATATATAAATAATGTAAGGTAAATAATTAAAAAATTCTGAGGATATTAGTAAATTTTTATTTTTGAGAAAATGCTGAAAAATAATTCTTAGCCTTTTAGTTTATATTTTGAACGAAATAATATATGTCAAAATATCAAGCCAACCAATCAAATTTTTTTTAAATAACGGTTGGGCTAAGCACTGCAGACCACAACAAACTGTCTTTAATGCCATTGCCATTGGCCACAATAATTCTAATATACTAAATTTTGATAAATTGGTTTAGTAGATATTATTAATCAATGTAAATGTAAATGGATTGGTTGATTATAGTCCATATCAGTAAAATGTGGATCAGTTTTGCCATGGTGTCTATACCATACATGCACCAATAAAATGCATGTTTTTATTTGAATGAATTTACATTACATAACAGCTGCCTGGGTAGGGCCATTGCTCCTATAAAAAACGAACACATTCGTCCGACATACAACTCCAACGACTTGAATACCGTAACCACCTTCATCCCTAAACCCATATCATCTACTGACACAACCAAGAAAAAACCAAAGAAGAAAAAGGATAAAAAAACCAAAAAAGAGAAGGAGCCAGATAATAAATTAGAAGCTGAAGAAAGCATTGTCAAGAAAAAGAAGGAGAAAAAACACAAGAAAAACAAGGCTACCAAACACAAAAAGGATAAGGAAATGGAAAATAAGACCAACCTCAAAGAGGCCAATTTGGATTCCACTAGGTAATTCTTCTCTATTGATATTCTTTTTTAAAATTGCTGCTAGTTGTCACCTTGTCTTATCTAGTAATGAATCAATTTTTTAGATAATTACATTAAACAATAATAAATAATTATATATATAATATAATAATAATATAAAGTAACATGTTGCTTTAATCCATTGCTTTTTCAATAATAATGATTATACCATATTTTTTTGAATAAAGTAATGCTATAGTTACCACGTTACTATAGAGCACTATTATAATTCTAACATAAACAATCATTTGAATACAGTTTATTTCTATATATTAATATAATAGCCATGAAGAGATAAATTTCCGTCTTAGACCTGTCACCTCCTCTTCAATCGCGAATCAGCAAATCGATGACATAACGGTACAGGATGTCTCGGCCGTGAAAGGAATTGAAGCTACCTCAACCATTGAAGATCACAATATAAGTCTCAAGCTTAATATCACGTTAGAATTGAAAAGGTTTTAAAAAGATTAAATATAATTAGAGGTGTACCGATACCACTCTTTGGAGGCCGATCCGATATTCCAGATATTAAATTGATATCGGCCGATAACCGATCCGATATCATATCTTCTGTAAACCAATGGTTTTAATTTGTAATATACTTTTTATTAGTATAACATCTATAATTTAATTATACCATAACTTATGTCATTTAAATATATTATAATGATCAGTTATAGTTTATTCAATTCAATTGCCTAAAAGTATATAAAATATTTTTATTATAAATCACTTTTATATAATAAGTAACAACATTAATCTATATACATAATAAGCAATAAACAAATATATTATGAAATTTAAATAAATATTTAAAATAATATTTAACATTAATATATCGAAGATTTCTTTTTAGAAATATCAAAATTTCCAATTTATCAGAAATCAGCCTGCGGCGATGGTAACTGTCAATATCACCAGCTTCACTAAAAACAGATTCTGAAGAGATTATTGCACACTTTTATAAACAGAATGCGCAAAAAATTAACAATATTGCAGAATGTTTATTAATTAATTATTATTATTAAAAAAATATGGATTTTGATTTTATTTATAAAAATAAATGATTTTAGATATAACTTTTTTTTAAAAAATTTATAGCATTTTATTTTTGTTAAGGACGTCATTTTATATCGGATCGGATCGGCAAATTTTATAATATTGGCCGATAACCGATATTTTATAATAGGTGAAATATCGGCCCGATCCGATAAAAAATATTGGTACATCCCTAATTAATTTAAATTTTTTAAATATTCTCCAGTATTTTTAATTTTTTTTAATTATTATATATTAATTAGTGTTGTTAAATGGCTCGATTTGAGCCAATTTGATAAACGGCTAACTCAATATTTTACGCCAGAAAAACATTAGGCAAGCCTGAAGATTTTGGTCATAGATGTCACAATCGAGTCGTTTAACAATACTAATATTAATATATTCCTATCTAAATTCAATTAATGGTTATTGGGTGTTCTCCAGGGATTTCCATATGATTTTTGCTAGAGGTCGATTTTTTTTTATTCAAATATTATAATGGATTTTCTGTTATAAAATAATTCGAAACTATAAATTTTTTATTGTTTTATTAAAAAAAGTTTTTTAAATTTGGGTAAAATTCCATGACAAATCGACCAATGATTCGGTCGACCATCTCAAAAATGAATGAAACTTTGCATGTTAGTTATTTATATTGTAAATGTTAAGAAAATCAAATTTTAGAGTGCTATCTCAACTAGATCCAAAGATATACGCCTTCAAAGTCGAAAGTCACGAAGTGCGTGATTTTGCGTGATTTCTTTAAATTGTGTTTTTAAAAAAAATACTTAAGATAGAGTTACAAATTATATATCATTTTATAGCCCTTAAAATTTTACGTTGGAAAATATCAAAAAAAAAATAAAAAATTTCAAGTGTTTTCTTATTTGGTTAATGATGCTTACTACCTTAAGGTACTATCTATCAAATTTGAATTTTGTTCATTTTTCATTTGGATAGGCACTACCAAATATATTTATAATATATATTTGAAAAATCGTGATTTTTGGAAAGCCTCTATGGCCTAGTAGGCAAGAGCTTGGCTTACTTATCCCATGGTCCCGGGTTCGAATCCCGGGAATGATCATGTTTTTTTTTCTTATTCTAACTTGGTGGTTCCATCCTTGGAGGGGGGATAATATATAGGAGGCCGGACTTGACCACGTGATTCGGTATTAATATATTAAATAATAAGGGTCTTGTTACATTTTAATAAATTTTGGTCGGTATTTAGCAAATTAGGTTGGTATTTAGAATATTTCCATACATTCACTTGGTAGTAAGCATCATTAACCTCTTATTTCCGGTAAAAATAAAAAATTAACATTAGGAAGGGATTTTTTTTCGGTGTTAATATTCACTAAAAATGTTTATTACCTTTATATTAAACGATTTAATAAAAAACCTCGATAGCCATTTTTGTTTTTTTAATTTTACTTGAATTTTTATTATATAAAAAAATGTAATATAATATTTTTATAATATATAATTTTTAATAAAAATATGAATAGTATTGTGATTAAAATTAAAAAATCAATTGAGTATAACCAAGAATGATGTTCTGGGGCGATATGTAAGCAGGCAGCCCATACAGATATTATTTTATTGACGCTATATTGTAAAATAAACATATTTTAATAAAAATTATATATTATAAAAATATTTTAATATAACGCCATATATATTACATTTTTTTATTTATAAAAATAATAAAAAATCAAATTAAAAAAACAAAAATGGCTATCGAGATTTTTTATTAAATCGTTTAATATAAAGGTAATAAACATTTTTAGTGAATATTAACACCGAAAAAAAATCCCTTCCTAACAATTTTTTTATTTTTATCGGAAATAAGAAAACACTTGAAATTTTATAATTTTTTTTATATTTTCCAACGTAAAATTTTAAGGGCTATAAAATGATATATAAGTTATAACTCTATCTTAAGTATTTTTTTTAAAAACACCATTTAAAGAAATCACGCAAAATCACATACTTCGCGATTTTCGACTTTGAAGGTATCTTTGGATCTGGTTGAGCTAGCACTCTATAATTTTGATTTTATTAACATTTACAACATAAATAACTAACATGCAAAGTTTCATTCATTTTTGAGATGGTCGGCCGAAAATCTCGTTTTTTTGGTCGATTTGACGTGGAATCACCCATTTGCCAGTGAAATAAACATTAAAATAATATATTTATTAAGAATCCCGGAAAAAAAACCCCGAAATTTTTTTTCGAATTTACTTAAGATCTAATAATATCGGTATATTTTTATTTGGATTTATATAAGGTATAGACAAATTAGTATTTTAGAAAAAAATATTATAAAAATATAATTTAATAATAAATTATATACATAATAATGATTTATCAATAAAATAAACAGATCTTATTGCAAATCTTGTCAAATTTAGTCTACTTAATATAGTAATTAAGGATGGATATTGTATTTATTACTAAAGCAAAAATTTTTACGAAAATAAGTAATACATAGGTTATTTTACTGGGATATTTTTTTCCCCATTACCAATTTGAATATCAGCATTTTTTCTTGTTTAAGCACTGCGATTTTGTTTTCAGTGTCTCAACTACCTACACGCCATCGTTCAAGTTTGGTTTCATCGGCAGCCACCTCGCATTTCATTTTTTTTAATCAATACCCAGATTGATGGAGTTTATTCCCAACCAGATTAGAAAAACGATGATTCGAACCTTTGCATTGATTATTTATGAGTTATTAGTTGGATAGAGTGCTCTGATTCAAGTTTCTGGAGGAAATCGAGGCTCAATTCGACCTGTCTGGGATTGAGAATTGCTTCTTGTGACATCCCTTGATACTCCATTGATGTAATTTTTATCGAAATATTCAAGAATATCCTTACCATTGATCGGAGTAACCGATCTAAGGAATGCCATTGCATTGCCCATATCACATAGGAACTAATGCTAAGCTGTCCATCATGCCACAAAAGAAGCTTAGGGCTTCATGGATTCTGTATTGGTTTTCCAGAACTAGCTTTTAAATTTTTCTATGGGTACTTTGACACAAATGGTAAAAGCATCCTCTGATTATGATGTGATCTCCTAATTGAATAAATAAATATAAATAATTTAACATATTAATAATCATACCAATGACAGTTTTAACCGCGCTCATAGCAGACTTTTCGAAATCCATGTATATATATAATGGATCAGGAAATAAATCCCGTTCTTGACATTTAGACATTATTACTTCGAATATTTTTTCGTAAATATTTTGTGTTTTTTTTGGAGTCTAATAGCTTTTAATGATTGTGGCATTCGCTTATAAAATTATTTATCAATATTAATTATTGCTAGGTTATACTAAAAAAAATAAGTGAAAATTGAGAAAAGGTTAGAAAAACAATGACTTAAAGCAAAAATTGGAAGAAAATAATAAATTGAGAAAATAATTTAAGAAAAATTGACATAATATTTTTTAAAAATTTTTTTCCTCGGGGTTTTTTTCCGGTGGTTTTTTTTCCTATTACCATTTATTAATTAGTATTTGCAAAATATCGGATCTGGCTCATATATTTTTAAAAACACGATCCAATCCGATATTTTCATTGTTTATGGTTATTTTATGATTTGAATATATGTTAGCAGCCATGTGTTATTTTTTCAACTTTAAATCATTTTTTGAGCTCGTTTTCTAAATCTGATTTTACCGGAAATGTATTTCATCATGTTTGGAATACTTACCTTATGAATTTCAGATAATTTTGCCATGAACATGAACTTAATATTATACATATTAGTTTTTTTATAGATTTTCATATAAATTATAAATGACTCAAAAGTTAACGATAAAATTATCCACAATTCATAAGATTGGTATTTACATGTACATTTCTGGTAAAATCAAATTTTTGAATTTAAAAAAACGCGCTCAAAAAATGATTTTTAAAGTTGAAAAAATAACACATTGCCGCTAACATACACTACCGGCCATAGATGATTGCTCACCCTGCATTTTCTTAACATTTTTCTTAAAATAAGACAAATAACACAATATGAGGTTTATCAAATTTAAGTTTACATATTATTGCATAAAATTACAAAAAATAAAAGACATAGCAATTAATTAAGATCAAATTTTGTTCTCATATGACCACCTTTATTCTTAATAATTGCTGCACAAATTTTTGGTAATCTTTCGATTAGATTTTTTAAATATTCGGAAGTGATATTTTTCCATTCTCTCTGTAATACTTCCCAAAGGTGCGAATGAGAGGTTAGAGGGCTTTTTCTTGCTTGCCGATCAAGGTGATCCCATAAAAGTTCGATTGGATTGAAATCGGGAGACTGGGATGGCCAAGTCATCAACTCGAGAATACCGTGTTGTTGTAGATTTTGTAAATAATCTTTGCATAGCCTGGATATA